ACATGCTATAGTTACCTAACACTTGCAGTTATAGAAGTTATTTGTTTAACTACTATGTTATACTATTTCTATTCTTGTAAAGTTCACTAGAACTCCAGTACCTATCTTTCTAGCATTTTCTTTATTATTTCTTACTAGCTACAACTCAGAACTAGTAGTCTCTTTCAGATTACCAATTCAAATAGTCTAGTATAGTATATTTCTGTATTTTTTTCCTCTAGCAAATCCAGTAACCTGGTTGGTTATATACTTCTTTATACATATTTGATATCTAGTTTAATCTTTAGTTCCTATAAAGGTGTTTTATAAACTTCAATCAGTCTGATAATAATGTTGAAAGTTCATGTTATTTTTTTACTTAGAAATTTTTAAGTAGGTTTTTGTTACCTTAGTTTCTTAGTCTTCTATGCCTAGTAGTCTTATTGTGAGTTTGCATTGAAGTTTTATACAACACTAGTTATACATTTCTCTATATACATATAATATTACACTTCATATAGATGTCTTGAACTCCCAATGTCAGTAGAACCCAACTTGGTATATCTGGTTTATAGCCACATGAGGCCAACTAATTAATAGAAGATAGTTATTATAATGCAAATATAATTTACAAAATTCATTATAGATGGGATTTGAACCTTAGATCTGCCATTTGGAGAATGACAACTTAATTACTATATTAGGATTATTATTATTTGCTAATTATATTTGAGCTATATAACTATCATATATATTATATATTATTATTTTTAATAATTTGAAATTATAATAATAGATATGGCAACTTAGTGAAATAGATAAGTTGTCATACCTTCAAGTGATAGATTATAAGTTCAAAATCCACTAACAGTGAAATTTAGATAATCATCTATATAATATATAGATGGTATTATAGCAATAGCATTCTGTTGATCAGTTAGAATAGGATACCTGTAACTATAATTGCATTAGCATGACTGATAGGTCTGAGGCATCTATATAATCTGTTACACAGAGGAATGCAAACTGGTACCAAGCAGTGCAAACCTAAAATAAGTTCTTAAACCATGTAAATTTATAGAACTAAGAAGCCAAAACTCACTTAAAAATTCTAAGCAAAGAGATAACACAGATCTTTGATATATTACTGTAAAGGCTAAACCTAGGAAATGAATACTAATATGAAGGAATCAGGTGAACAAGAACCTTAGATGAGAAGTACTACTAACCAGGCTACCAGATTTCAAACCAGAAAAAAAGAATATTAATTAGGCTGATCTCAATATATCAAGAACAGATTATAGTTCTTCCAAGCTATCTGAATTGGCAAAGTAGAGATATACTAAAAGTACTAGGAATATGTTATAAAGTTAGTACTGAAGTCTAGATAAACTCTGTAAAGGTAGCCTGTATTAGTATTTTAAAAGTGAATAGATAGTTAACAATGGAAGGCCTCCTGCACCTTACTGGCAAGTAATGTACTATGAAATATGTAATAATCTAAGAACTAGTACAAAAAAAATAGGTACTATACTACTTAGATGGTATACCAATTAGGTATATACAGAGAGTAAGTTGGGATTTCAATATGACAGGGTGAATGATCAAAGGGTTTAAATGGATAATCTCCTAGTAGGTTATAGGTATAGCATCTAGTATAGAACTTTAGGATGGACTATTTAAATAGGTAACCAAAAGTTGCACATGTGATTAGCTGTACTCTCATTTCTGTAAAAATAGTTGTAATAGCTAATCCAATATAAGTTAATAAAGTATTACCACAAGTATGACCTTTAACAAAAAAAAAAAAATTATAATAAAGATTTTGACATGATAGTTAAACTTTTGATTTAATAAAAATTAATTAGTCAAAGATCAGAAAGCTAAAGATATTTGATTTAACTTAGCAAATTAAATAGTTTTTTAAAATTCTGGTAATTGGTATTTTGTAATCTACTAATTTTAGTCAATAATATATATTGCATATTATTGTTTTAATTTTGTTTAAACTTATAAATTTTAAAATTCTAAAACTTTTATACAGATATTATTTTTAAAATTTGATTAGTAACTTTGTAAAACTTATTATAAAAAACAAAATTACTAATTAAATTTTGAAAATAATACTTGTATAAAAAGTTTTAGAGTTTTGAAAATACTTGTTATTTGTAGTTACATGATTGTTAAGTATAAATGTTCCAAATTATATACAATTTTTTTTATTATATATAAATTTTTTTATAATACTAATAATAGAACATTTGAAATACCAAGAAGTAACTGTTTTTTAAGAGCAAGTAGGCAGTATAACTGTTTTTTGTAATTACAAAAATATGAAATTAAGGTTGAATAAGTGCATACTTAAGACATCTGTTAAAAATTTGTTTATAAAAAAATGCTTTAGTAAAAATACTCTGCTTATATAAAGTACTTATGTTATTTTTTTTGTTTACCAAATTATTTAATGATAGACAATCATGCTTTAGTAGAGGAACAACAACAATGTTGTTGATCTTTGAAAGTACCTATATCTTATAAACTTAAATAAAAATCTCTTTCAAAAGACAAAAACTTTAATACAAAAAAAAAACACAATTTTGTATAATATTAATAATTTTACTTGTTAGATGCAAGTAAATATACAGACAAGTTCTATATATGACAACTAGTATAAAACTTTTAAGCAAACTATTTAAATTAAATAATAATTAAAATTATAAAAATAATTAGTTATACACTCTTTGTATAATTGTTTTCTGTAATTATAAAACATCTATTAATGAATATATATATTATTAATAAAATTCTAAGTTAGATTTAGGTTGCAAATAACTTGTCTGAGCTTCTAATCTTAATATCTTATAGATATAAAATTCAAATATAAATTTTTTTTATATATTCTATCTATAAAAAGTTTAACTGAGTTTTAATAAAGATAAAAGCATGGCCTTACCTTTAATATTTAAAAAAAATAAAATCCTAAGTTACAAATACCTACCTTAATATTTAAAAAAAATAATATACTAATAACCTATTTTGTAACAATACTAATAAAATTTTTTGATCACGTGAAATTATCAATGCTTTAACAAAAAAAATCTCGAACAATTTTACTCAAACCCTAACATAAGCGAACTCTAAAGATTTTGCGATCTCGATTATAACTAATAGGTTTAGGTAGAATACTGATAAGGCATGCACAATTTGTATCACCGTCCAATGGGAGAATGAGTCGTAAATTAGTAGTAACGATTACAGAAAAAAAATAAAATTTTGCAATAAGTATCAGCCAATTAAAAAGAATTTTCCGCAATAAAATATCGATATTATTAACCTCAGGGTTAACTTCTACATAATAAAATGATATACAAAGCCGTCATTCTTGTGGGTGGACCTTCTCGTGGTACGCGTTTTCGACCTCTTTCTTTGAATGTACCGAAGCCTTTATTTCCAATCGCCGGTCATCCAGTTATTTGGCATCATTTGGAGGCCTTATCTAAGGTTGAGGGAGTGAAAGAAGTCCTAATGATTGGATTCTATGAAGATTCGGTTTTTCAAAGGTTTATAGACGATGCAGCCAGAGATTTTCCTCAGATTTATGTTCGGTATGATACTAATGGAAAGCAGTATCTTAAGTTATTAAAAGTTATTTATTTACAGACTTATTTATTTATTTTTGTATAGTTATCTACGCGAATACCAGTCTTTGGGAACAGCTGGAGGTCTATATCATTTTCGTGACGAAATTCAAAGAAACGACCCGCGTCAAATATTTGTTCTTAATGCTGATGTAGCGTGTAGCTTTCCACTAAACGAAATGGTTAAATTTCATAATACGCATAGAGGGTTATGTACTATATTAGGAACTAAGGTAAAGTTTTAAATTCAAGTCTAATTATTTGTATTTATATTAATTTATTTGATTTATTAAGGTTGCTCGCGAAGTTGCTAATAGATTTGGATGTCTAGTTGAGAAACCAGAAAATCATGAAGTCTTGCATTATGTAGAAAAACCTGAAAGTTTTATATCTAATTTGATTAGTTGTGGTATTTATTTGTTCGATTGTGCTATTTTTACTGAAATGAAAAAAGCGATGCAAAATAAGGCCAATCGAGTCGAGTATCCTTTTTTTTTCAAATACGCGAATATAATAAGTATTTGAATTCCATCCTTAATAAAAATTTTAAATTTGGTCAATTAATAGTCGAGATCAATTTCAGATGCAAGATGACAAGCTTCGATTAGAACAGGATATACTCCGACCTTTAACAGAATCAAGCAAATTATTTGTATATGAAACAACTGATACTTGGGTTCAAGTTAAAACTCCTAGGTATTCAAAGTGTCTAAATGGCTCTCATTAATTATTTGATGATGATTGTCTCATGATTCTTCTGTATAGTTCAGCTGTCCCTGCAAATGCATTATATCTTGAACAATATCAAAAAACAAATCCAGATAGATTATTAAAAAACATGCCAGATGGCCCTACTGTAGTCGGGCTTGTCTATAAGCATCCCACCGCCACTATAGATCCTACCGCTAAGGTTTGTGACATGGTTTATGGGCCATAGTTTAAGTGTTATACATTGCTTTAATTACAAGTTTATTTTTAGATTGGTCCAAATGTAACTATTGGTCCTCGTGTGATCGTTGGAAAAGGAGTTCGCATCAAGGATTCAATTATCTTGGATAATGCAGAAATTAAAAACAATGGTTGTGTTTTGTACAGCATTATTGGATGGGATTCAAAGGTTGGAAACTGGTCTCGTGTTGAGGGCACACCGACGACGGATCATTCAACAACTGTCACACAGAATGGTGTTAAGATCCAATCAATTTCTATCCTTGGTATGGATTCACAGTTTCACTTTGCGATTCTTCAATTGTTCAAATATATTAAAATGTTTTTTACATATAGCCCAGGAAGTTACTGTTAAAGATGAAATCATTATTCGTAATTGTATTGTACTGCCAAACAAGGAATTAAAAACAAGTTGCCACAACGAAGTTTTAATGTGATAGTAATAAATTACATTTTGTTTGATTAATTTTATAGATTCATACCAGATAAATTTTAATTATCTTATTTATATTTTCATAAATGAATTGAGATAACTAATTGTTTCTACATAGTATTATTATTATTATTACTTTAATTTTATGAACATGTTTATCAATAAATTCCACTTATAATAATTAGTAGAATAAATTAGAGTTTTTCATTGTCACCACTGCAATGTGGTCGGACAATCAAATTTAAAACCCAAGAATCGAAACAATCAGGCTTTTAATCATACAGTACCCGGTGTGGTGCAATTTAACTTAAACATTAAGCATTAAATATATATATATATGAATAATACTGTACCTTAAAATTAGGGGTTTGCAACCTGGGCTCGTACCTGTGCTTAACAAAAAATCGGGTATGGGCATGGGCATAAAAACATAAAAACTTGTATACAGGTATGGGATTGACATTTTATGTTTAGTGCTTAATGCTCATGTTTATAATAATGTTTGGCACTTTGTATTTATGCTTTTTATAGTATCAGGCATTTATGTTTATGCCTATAAGTGTGTTATTTTTATATATATAGACATATGCATAATATAAAGTACTAATGTTTAACATAATGCTAATATGCTTAACATAAATGGTTGTAAAGTTATATTTAAAATAAAGTTTGATCAAAGATATTAGTAAAAAATTTTTTTTCCTTTACTTGAGCAGTTTTGCTAGTTATTTTTATTATAATTTTTTGTACTATACAATACAAGTTTATATAAATTTTAATTCAGCATTCCACAGATACTTCTACAAGTCCTATAAGTAATTTGTTTGTATTGATTATTTAACTTTATAAGAAATTAAAGTACACTAAAAGTCACATCTGATTACTGTTTTATAATAAAATATCATCAATTTGATGATAATTTCTTATAGAAAAGTAAACAAAAATAAAAAAAACTAATATAATATAAAAAAACCTCAAAATTATAAAAATAAATAATAAAAGGTACAATGTAAGAAATAAAAAAAATTGAAAAAAATGAAAAAAAAACACATGCAACTTTTATTATACTACTATCAGAAGGTCACAATTATAAGCCTATATCAAGCTTTAAAAATTATAAATTATATTAAATAAAACTATCTTTACTATATTTTTATTTATTTAAAATATTTAATAAAGGAGTGTGGTGACTTAGTGAAGTGAATAAGTTGTCATCCTGTCAAATAGTAGGTTGTGAGTTCAAAACCTACTGACAGTAAAATTTGAATAATCATCTATATAATATATAGACAATATTATAATAATAGTATTCTGTCAATCAGTTGGAATAGAATACCTGTAACTATAGTTGCACTAGCATAACTGGTAGGTAGAGTTCAGGGCACAGGAGCATGGGACATGCCCCTAAGGGCATGCTCCTAGGGCATGCCTATGGGCATGCCTCAAGTTCAAAGGGCATGCCCTTGTCATGTGATGTTTAAAGTTATTTTAATTGGCTAATAAGTTCAAGTAAACTAGAACTGTAGATACTCAATCAACATGTAAGATTTTTAAACTATATGTTAATCATATGATTTAAAAAAAGCATACCTATAGACAAGAAGGACATGCCTTAGCTCAAAGGCATGCCCATATGGGCATGCCCAATTTTTTTCTTATGCACTGAACCCTACTGGTAGGTTTGAGACATCTGTGTAACTTGTTATATGGAAGAATGCAAATTGGTATCAGGTAGTGCAAACCTAAAATAAGTTCTTGGGTCATATAAATCTGTAGAACTGAAAAGCCAAAGCTCATTTAGAAATTCTGAGCAAAGAGGTAATCCAGATCTCTGACAGTACTAGTTGTACTCTTATTTTTATAAAAATAGTTGTAATAACTAATTCAATAAAAGTTAATAAAGTATTATCACAAAGTATAGTCTTTAACAAAAAAAAAATATTTAATAAAATTATATATAAAAAAGTTTTGATTTGAATATAAAAAGTTAGCATTAGACATTGATTAATTTAGTAATAGTATTTTATAAGTTTTTATTAGTTTAAAACATATATATAAACTATGCTTGTGTTGTAGTATTGTTTCTAATTTTTATTATTAACAATCCTATTTAGAAAAATAAATACTGCTAATTGTTTTAATAATTTTATATGTTGATCTTTTAAAGAAAATAAACTAAATCATTTATTTTTATAAAATTTTCTTTAAAGAAAAGTGAGAGACAATAAAAGTTTATATATAATTCTTTATAAAGATTTAATAGTTATATAATAGTTGTTTTAAGTTTCTAATAGTTCTAGCTTGGGTTTTTCTACAATTGTTTTTAAAAAAACCTTTTGGTTTGAATACTAAACAAAGAAAGAAGTTTATCAAGAAGAAAAATTTAAGCTGTTTTCAAACAACTACAAGTATATTTGCTTCTTAGTATTTCATATCTATTTTAGTTTTATTAACAACAATCTACTTTATATAAAATTAAAAGTATTGTTATTTTGATCTTACTATAACATTTTTTTGTAATTTAGTTTATTGTTATTAGTTAAAAAATTATCAAAAAGATTTATAATAAAAATTAATTTTATTAAATTTAATATTTGGTAGTTTTGTTATTATTTTTTTTTTATTTTTATTTTTTTTTTAAGATGACCTTTTTGGTCTTTTAATTTTTATTAATTACTTGTTAGTATTATAGTTCAATAAACTACTACAAGAGAGCATACAATTGGCTATATATATAACTTTTCTATATTACCTATTTAAGGAGTTCACCCAAAGTTCTTCATTAATTGCTATACCTAATACCTCTGCTTGGGTGTTTCACTTTAAACCTTCTAAACCTGTAAACTGTGATAACTTACTGAGTTATATCCAGATGCTCAGATTATTGTCTTAACCTTAGAATTAATTTATTAAGATAAACCTTCTAGAGCCTTCTGTATTTATTTTTATAACTAATCTAGATATTGCTATAGCAAAACCAATACTTGCAGTTAGGGCTTAACTATTAAACTGCTATGCTCTTATAGAGTTCACTTAAACTTTAGCATCTACTTTACAGCATAATCCTGATACTTTAGTATATGCCTGCCTTTTCATCTGCTTTTTTACCAAACTTCTAATCCAGATAGCCTGTATAGGATTATGACTAGTCTATTAGTATATCAAGTTGGCCTGATTAGTAGTACTTTTGAAACTCCCAATCCAGAGGTTCTTGCACATCTGGCTACTACAACCAGGTACTATAACCTTGATATCTGTTTCTTTGAGCTAGCCTTTACAGTAGGATCATTGAAGATCTAGCTACCTCTTTATTTAGGTCTTCTTAAATGGACTTTTTGTTCCCAATTTCAATGGATTTACATGGCTACAAAAACTTATCTAATGTTTACACTACCTGATTTGTTGGTTTGCATTCTTCTATGTAATATTATACTTATACAAATGCCTCATGATCTGCCAGTCATGCTGGTATGACCATTATTACAGGTATTCTAATCTAATTATTAGTAACAGTTATTATAATACAAATATTATATAGGAAATTATTCAAATTTTTGTTGTTAATAGGATTTGAATACCCAACCTACCACTTGAGAGGTTGACAACCTGACCACTTTACTAGGTTACCACACTTTTCAGTTTTGTTATTAATTTTTTTTTTTGTATTAAACTAGCTTCTTTTAAAGCTAAGGCTTTTTATTAAGTAGTTAGAATATAGGGACTCATAGCCAAGATCTTAAAGAAGTCTTCTTACATTAAAGAGTACAACTAGTCATACATATACTTTTGGTGTCTAATTAAGTAGTTTGCTAATAATTCTACACTAGTTGCCATACCTACAACCCAACTAGAGGTGTTGCCTATTTAAACTCTCTGTACTGCAATCCTTACTGTATTACTAGATTATTTTCACTATATAAATTAGTTAAGAAGGTCTAGATGCTTACCCATATCCTTAGGACCCTATAACTTATTTCATGCAATATATCCTTAGAAGCATTATTACTAGAGCCTTCTATATCTCATACATAACTAATCTAGTTTTATATAATATGCTATAGTTACCTAATACTTGCAGTCAAGACTAACCTTAAACTATTATGTTATACTATTTCTATATTTGTAAAATTCATTAGAACCTCAGTACCTATCTTTTTGGCATTTTTTCTATTATCTTTTATTAGCTACAACTTAGAACCAGCAGTCTCTTTTAGACTACTAATCCAGATAGCCCAGTATGGTATACTTCTGTATTCTTTTCTTCTGGCAAATCTGACAGTCTAGTTGGTTATATACTCTTCTATATATTTGATATCCAGTTTAATCTTTGATTTCTATAAAGGTGTTTCATAGACTTTAACCAGTCTGATGGTACTATTGAAAGTTCATGCTATCTCTTTATTTAGGAATTTTCAAGTGAGTTTCCATTACCTCAGTTTCTTAGTCTTCTACTCTTAGTGGTCTTATTATAGGTTTGCACCAAAGTCTTATACAACATCAGTTATATATTTCTCTATGTATATATAATGTTACACTTTATATAGATGCTCTAAGCTTCTAATATCAGTAGAACCCAACTTGGTATACTTGAGTTACAGCTGCATGAGGCCAACTAATTGACAGAAAACAGTTACTTTAATACAAATATAATTTCCAAATTTTGTCATAGGTAGAATTTGAACCTTAAACCTGCTACTTGAAAAATAACAACCTAACTACTACATTAAGATTACTATTTTCTTTGGTTTTGTTATTATATTTTAATTAGATTATATATTTTTATATATAAATATTATTAGTTCTAATATATTAAATTTTATTAAATAATATTATGAATTTTTTTAGATATTTCTGTTATACTTATAACTAAAGTATATATAATGTTCTTTTATTAAGATATTATAAATAACTTAGTATTTTTTTAATATTTACATATTAGTTTAAAAGATTTAGATCTAATACTAAAAAGGTTGTTTTTTAAAATTCATATTTCTTTTTAAATAG